ATGACAAAAATTGTATAGGTTAGTAAGGATGGTTGCAGAAAGGTAGAATTTTGAACATCCTTGAAATTTAATAAATTTTTAATAATTTTTCTCATCATTTACAACCAAATTAGGAAAAAAAATATATACAAATTAATCCATGCATCCATTTTTTTTGTACCATCGGTCCTTCATACATGATACAACATACGGTACTAAAGAATGAGTAAAGATTTTATGTCATCTCATTTCATTTGCTGTTACTTTAAGAGATCCTTTTTTTTCAAAAGCTAGTGCATTTTAACCTAATTAACATTTGTGGTGCTTTGCATTGTGTATATTGATTTAATGATCAGTGAACCTGACTAGGGAGACAGGGGTCCTAGGTTCGATTTCTGGTCCAGACTGGACAGACGTCTGAGCATCTTAAATATATTTCATGAATTGTATACATATATCCTTTTTAATTAATCTCTTTCTCCACTAGGTAGAACTAAGCAAACTTTTAAAAAGACCTGCGTAGGAATGTTCACTGAATTAAAGTTTCAACTTATTAGTAAGTCTCTTTGATGTTTAAAATAAGTCACTTTGGGAAAAAAATATTGTTTCCCTTAAAGTTTGATTTCTTTTAATGTTTAATATACTATTTTAAAGAAGATGTATGAAGGAAAGTGAAGATGATATACGCAAATTTAACTTTGTAATTGCAAGAGTCGCATGCACAAAAGTTCACAAAATGGTATAAATATACCGGGGTAGATACTTGTGGCTATAGTAAGACAATGGGGATCTCTAGTATACTGTTCACTACTCATGATCAGTACTATATATCATATACGTAAATATGGTGGGATTTTAACCCACAGAAATTCTGACAATAACAAAGAAGAGAATAGATAATAAATAGGAATGCCAATGAGATCATAGTGGATGATTTAAAAAAAAGAAAAAAAAAAAAAAAGAAAGTAAAAGTGTGATGAAGGGACAAATTTCAAATTGGATGAATTCAACTCTTTGTGACATTCTGAGGACTGATAGTGTTATGATTACCTTGTTAAAAAAATAGACCTCAATTTCAATTTAGATTTAATGAATTTATGTCAGGAATGTAACATTTTACTGACTAAAGAATGAAAAAGTATCAATTAAGTTTCATATTAAATGTTATTTAAAAACTCAAAGAATAATAATTCAAGGCAGGATTTATGACAGCATTTTAGTTGTTTTTCAAAAGCAACTTGCATCAATCTTCTAAAGTGAAATTCAGCTATATGTTTATTATATCCTTACCCCAAAGTAGAGGAGGTATACTTTTTTACCCATGTCTGTCTGTCTGTGTGTGTCTGTCTGTCCATAAAAAAATTTCCACAGTTTTCTTAGCAACTACTCTTCCCAGATGCTTGAAATTTTAACACACTCTTTGTTTAGACATGCCATATGGTGGGTTTCATTTTTGTACAGATCCGATGTCAACTTCCCGTTTATCCATGCGTCTGTCTGTACCAAACTTATATTAAAATACAACAATTATTATCACTAAATGTACATGTACTTATGTTTTTCATGACCCTCTATACACTTCACACTAAAGAGTTCTAATTCCATGGTACCTGTACTTTCATCCAGTAAGAGTTATCTGCCCTCAGATCTAAAGTTAAATAAATTGAAGCTCTATATGTAATAAACTCAAACATTTTAAACAATTTATTAGGCCAAGATTAATTAATTGAATATTTATTTGCATGTATTTCCCCTCATTTAGATGAGCAACAGTGATTTGTGTTCATCAATACTACATTGTCTTTGAATTTTTTTTCTTGAAAGTAAATCACTAAATGGAAGGTACCATCCATGTTCAAAATGAAATAGACTGGCTCAGTATTTACAGCTCTATATGCTTTAATTTTCTCAACATCAAATAAATATTTTCATTCATGTAAAGAGGGTCTTAAGTTAATATCAATATATTATTAAGTTAATATATAATACAATGTATAAATTAAGTTAAAACATTTTTAAAATCTAAAAATGCTTTTATTCCCCTGCCAGTGAAACCAAGGAGACTATTGGTTTCCTTTTTCGATTACACTAAAATATCGCCCCCCTGATAAATCGACCAGTTTTGGAGGGATAGCTTTAAGCAAATGAACAATCTGCATGAAATTTTGCATGATAATAACTCGTTTCAAGATATTTGCTTCTTTAATGCAACTTGCTGTTTTAATAATTTCCTGAAAATTAAGTCTTCTTTTTTATATTCATCATACAAGAGTCATGCATTAAGCTTTTACAAACAAAGGTGTGTAAAAATACGCACACATATATGTACTACTTTGAATTGTACATATAACCCATAACAAATGCATGTAATGTACATCTGCTTAAGAAACATTATGCAATAAACTACTTGGGACTTCATGCAAAAGAATTAGTAAAAATTGTATTTGAAATTTTGCACATACATGTATGTCAAATTATATCTGGTTTATTTTGCACATGTTTAAACTTAGTACATGTAAGTTTTAGATATTTGTAGAAAAGTAACCTAACCTACCCATTAATTATTCAGATTTTTCTTTTCTTTATACAAATATTTTTTGATATCATATTAAGCTAATATATAAAACCTATTCTGCACTGTGCAATTCAGATCCAAAAAGCCAAATCATATATTAGACCTCACCAGATATTTTACACTGACAGGATCTAGTATATTTTATATGTTAATTTGTAAACTTTTTCTGATAACAATGAGATTTGATGCTGAAGGAAGCAAGAGAAGATAATTTAACAAATGTAGTAAATGTTTCACATGAGAAATTATACTCTAAACATGCTAATTTAAGACTTTGTTTTTATTTCATTACAACTAGTGTGTTTCTATTTATTTAAACTCAAGATAAAGAAATTTAATCCTGATTGCAATTTAGCACAGGTTAACATTTGAAAAATACAAATGTATATAGTACTCTCGGGAGGTATAGTACAACAATCGAGGTCTTTTTACATGCTTTGGATTAAATTTAGGAATTTAAGAGACTTTTGAACACAGTAATAATTTCTTTTCGTATATAGATAAGGATTGCAACTCATTAAAATTGGTTCTCTGATGTTATTTTTTCAATTGATGTGTTCCAAAAAGACAGAGAATTCAAAGAATTTAGTAGAAAATGTGAGAAAACAAAAAATAATAGGCCATAGTCATTAATGTATGACTTGCCTCAGTTAATAACAGGAAGAAAAGAATTACAAAAACTAATGTACCAACATAAAATTTTACCTGAGTATTAATATATCATCTAATCTGAGACTTCATGCGGTGACATGTAGCATGATGACAAGATGAAGAGAAAACTTTCAATTTTTTATTATTAGATTATCTAGGATATCATTTTGGATGAAGTATAATTGAACAACCTATGAACTCCCAGAACACTCAGTCAGTCGAACCCTGTCTTGAATGTCCCGACTGTTTTAATTTGGAGTGAAGAGCAAAATAGAATTTTTTTTATATGTACATTCATGATGCATGTGCTATTTCTCAGCTGCTTCAAATATACATGTAAATTAAATATACAGGCATATATATAATGATGCTCATCATCTCAGACCAATAAGAATAATCTAGCTGTGTCTCAGGACAGGCCCTCACCGGATCCATACGACATTATCATTTTTATCTTAGAACATTCTATCAACCTTAATCCAAGAATCCGCTCCACTCAAAACACATTTATCCCCACTTTTATATCATGAACATCACCAACATTGTCGCAATATAAAAGTCAGGGTTTGAGGATGTTGGGTGAGTTTAAAGTTCTCTACAGAATGTGTTTATATATATTATATTAATTGACATAGTTTTAGTATGGTGTTATGCTCATGCACAGTTACTTGGTCACAAACCATGAAGCTTGGTCTTTAGAGTTTAATTATCAAGTAGATAGGAGTCACGTAGGGTAAAAGTCATCCATGGACATTCTGTGTCCCCAACTTAGGAGTAGGATTTCAGCCTTTCAAGCTCGCGATCGGCCTATAGATGTGATTTAAATGAAGATACAATGCAAAATGGCCACATTGGACATATCCATCTTCCTTTACATAGATTTTATCTATTTATTTGCATATATATACATCTCAAGACATGATAAACAACAATGCATGTGTACCTTGGTTTGTCGGGAGCTGTTCTTGTGAAGGCACCAGACGTTATAAAGATGTGACAGACTAACCACTTATTTGTAACTATGAATATCTAAAAAAGTATTATATAGACACAAAAAGTAGTAAAATATGTCACTGCTCATTTTCTTTCAATCAAATTTATCGTTAATAATCCGCCGCATTATCTTTCTTGACTTACGTCTTAGTTGTGAGGTGCAGATAAAGTTGAAACATCTCCGAATCGAGACATTCGACGCCATATTGGATTTGAGGCGAACTACCTAAGAAGCAAGTTCGCGAGCGATCGCGAACGCTCTGGCGATCACCTCCGTTCAGAAGCGAGCGCTCGCGGACAATCGCGAGCGCTCGCTCTGCTGAACACACCTCTGGTTTATAGAGTGCAGTTTATGTCAACATCTCTGAAAATTTGATCAAGGTTGATGAAGATTAGGTAATTGGGATTGAAGTTCTGATTTTAAAATGAACACTCACTCCTGAAGTATAACCTTGTAAACAAGTTTACTATCCTCATTCTAACTGGATACCCCCAACCGTCAAAGCTGTTTAATAAAAGAATCAAGATCTCAAAACCAAAAATATATAAAGAGTTCTTCTGGTAAACTAATGAACAACACATTTTTAGACTCTTTGGAGTCCTGGGCAGAGGTTAATATTCCGATCCCGATTACCTTTTTACAAAGCCTACATGTAGCAATAACTGGTTCGTCACCTTTTTCATAATAAGAAACCTTATATGCTTATGTGATATGATAATCTCGTTTTATTATGATTCTTGATTATTAGAGCAAAACAAAAACATAAACGAGAAATCGGTTATAAGAGTTCCATTATCTGATCTCCATTGTTGAATGCAAATTCACCCAAACACATTTCCCAAGTCTGTGTTTATTGTCCGTTGTGCCATTGTTGGAGTTGTGTCTGGAAACTTCATAGATTGTTGAACTGACCCTGGAGGTAAGAATGATAAAAATAAATATATATCTAAAAATATTTTATTTTGCATAGCGATTAGAAAGCTGCTGTGGGAGGATATCTAATTTGGGGTATCTCTTGAAAATTAGATCTTATGAGGGTCTTTTTTATAACATAAACATAAAAAATTCTCAAATAACTGAAACAAGTAGATTTTTTAATATCATACACACATTCCACGTTAGTGAGTAATCTTGAAATATTTTTTTTTCGGTTTGTAACCCTTAAAAAAGATATATTTTTAAATAATTTCATGAACGTAACACAACATTCCTCACAAATTCTTACAAAACTTTTTAAAATTACTGCACATGTAACTGTCTCGCCTATTTAGTTATGATAAGTCACTGAAACATACTTTAAACCTTGAATCTCCAACTTACTGTGTTCTACGTACTCAACAGCATAACATCTCATCTCCGAGAGTCTAAATCAAATTACAAACATAATGAGATGTACCAAATATATAATTATAATCCTAAAGAATATTCAAAGTAAATAATTATAGCAATAAACGTATTCACTACATCAATAAATATAATTTCAATAATGATGCAAACGCCGTTTGTCTGTTTGGAGATTTTTGATTATGATGCCAGTACTGGGAAATTGAAAAAAATAATTCCAAAGACATTTAGTGGCAAGTCGTTATTTGTATCTTTCAATCCATTTGGTTAATCATTTGCTCGAAGTTGCAATGCTTTATATTATCCTTTATTGTAACAAATATATTCATGTGTTTCTTACTTAGAGTCATGTTGTGATGCTTTTACACAAAGCTTTACCACTTGACCCGCATGACTGTCAGATGGTATGATAAGGATGTCGACAGAGCACCTGTTATTGTCAGAGGTGTTAAAAATATGAACTGCAGTTTCAGCGGTCGGCAAGACGGAGACACTGGGACTGGTAATACAAAAAATAATAAAACAATTTATTTGTACATGTATACGACATATTTAGTGCTTTCATTTTCAGAGTATTTAATAAGTCCGCAAAACAATATATAAAAAACTACTACAAGTGTGTATGTGTGAAATCTAATATGGAAGCCAGAAACAATTACAAAAATTACTTCCAGATAAAATAAAAAATGAGTTTTAAAAACATCAGAGAAAGGGAAATATGTAGACACTGAGAATTTTAGTATTAGTGCTTTTGTTGTATCATGCATAAGATCTCTATCAATATTACACTTGTACCAATTAATTAAGGGACTACATGCAATCCTTACGACCAATTAACAATTTTTATTCTTGATATGATTTTTATTCTCAGGGAGTTCTACATTCATAGTTTTCTGATAAATACAGACTTACCACGATTCGTTGTTTCCATGATTCAGGTAGAGCAAAAGGTGACAATCAACACCCGGAGAACATGAAAAAATGGAAGAATTTTGGGGAGATGGTCCGATAAATAATTCCTGAAATATCAATCAAGGGCAATTGAAATGATTTAATGATTTGGTACCTGTAATCAAAATGTTAATTTTATTTTTAACTTATTTTCAATCACATTAGAAATCTTCTGATGAATATTTTACTGTCTGCTTTTTTAATTCGCAATTTTGATAATTCATGTTCCACATATCCTGTTTAACATGTATTGTAGGTCAACCCAATAAATCAAATATGAGGGGAAAAGATGCATTAAAGAACAAAACAAATTCTTTAATTATATTATACCTTTTCTCTTTTATTTGATATGATTCCTGAAAAAAATCATGTCAAAATGTAACACTAATTTATGAACAGATGACTAAAAAAACAATATGTTTTAGTGAGAAATTCTACAAAAGAAGAAAAATGTTACAGCAAAGTTTGCATGATTTACGACAATAGATAGCTGTTGTTGGATCTGAGCAAATATTGATAAGAGCACGGGGATCGCGGCAGTCATCAGTGTCGTCGTTGCATGAACCATCTGTATCAGTATCTACAATATAGAAAATATACTTATCTGTTTTTGTTTAACGTCCCTTCCAAAAATATTCACTCATAATGAGACGCCATCACTTGCCGGTGGAGGGCTGCACATTTAGACCTGTACTCGTCACTTACAGCCTTTTAGCTGTGAGGGATCTTTTTCGTGCCAGCATTTACTGCGACACGAGACCTTGATTTATACGGTCTCATCCAAAAGATTGGTCTCCACGTCCCACAGTAGGATTCGAACTCGCGACGAAAGGATTAACTCCTTATTCATGTATTATTCCGCGACTCTAGAGCAGACGCTCTAACCACTGCGCCACGCGGGCAATATTCTTATCTGAACATTTTAAAACTCTTCCTCTTTATAATTACCTTGTATCATCGACGTACTGTTTGTGTAGTTATTAAAGCGGGCTTCATATGTCAGCGGATTTGGCGCTTATTCATGAATACCGCTAAGAATTCATTAATAAATACAATTCACGACGCGGACGTATACTAGTATAGCATCTAATTCATGAGTACGAAAATAACTCCATAGCCAGTAATTGCACTAAATTTTAAAAACGCCAATTTATGTACACGTACAGTATTTGTCGATAGCCTACGTTGTTTTAGAAATTGTTCGCACGTAGAAGATACTCTTGCATATCTAATCACGTTGGATACATAAACTCCATATGCAGGTGATAATGGTATATTGAACATAAATAAGGAAAGTTGACGATAGAAAAGTGAAGTCAGCACGTTTATCAAAAAGTGTAGTTGTCAGTTTGCCATCAATGTCTTTTTCTAGTGAAACATCCAAATATGAAAACATGTGTTAGACTCGGTGGTGTCTTTTATTTTGAGTTCAATGGCATATTCCAATTCAACATAGGAATGAAACCTAATATTGTTAATTTCGTCGATATCTCTAAATGTCGAATTAAAGGCCATGACAAGAGATGTCTTTCATGAAGAGGTATTTGAATAAATTATGCTTCATATGAATACAAAAATAAGTCTGCTCATAACGGGGCACATTTACAACCCATGAGAGTCTCACTGAATTTTATTTAGTGATATAGGAGAAGTTGTAGATAAGAGATGGGTACCCTCAATATTATAGAAAGGATGGCAGTGTCCCCGTTTTGCTAAGGGAAATTCAAAATATGCATCCGATCAATGCTAAAAATAGGAAGTGTGCGTAATGACACAGTGTAATAAAGAGTCTGTGAAAGTCTCATAATTTTTTTCTTTGGGAAAAAACAAATATCTGTTCAATCGAAGTGTGAAATAGGAGCTGCGCACAATGGGAGTTTGTAATAAAGATTCTAAACGTCTCATTCAATTTTATTCATGGGTATAAAAACAGTTGCGCATGAGGGATGGGTACCTCAGTATTATGGGGAAAATGGCAGTTTCCTTGTTTTAAATACTATGGGAATCCTAATATAAATATATATTTGATACATAGGATCTCTGCTTCAAACCAAGGAAAAGAAATAACTGTGTTCCATGTTTTAAAAAATACTTCAACATACGCTGCTATTGCCTGTTTTTACACAACAATATTGCCCTTGTTATTAATGTGTAGTTGGTCTTGCAATACTAACATATCACGTTGGACGCCATTGACTTGTTATACACGCAGTGTAGGTAAGAGAGAGAGAGAGATAGATCAATCTATTTCATGATTCAGTAAGTGTTGACATGGACCTTAAAACTTTAAAAAAGGTTTATATCAGATTTTAAAACACGACAAATTTCTAAAATCCTACACAAGCACTGATGTTCTAATAATGTTTTGAATCAACATTATCAGAGACTATGACATGGTCAAACTGAGTCATGTGGCAACTTGTCCGCTAAGTCTTGAAAAACATACCTGAGTTTTGAGTTGAAATGCTGCAGCAAACCTTGTCTGTTGCAATGCTGTAAATAAAGAATATTCATATTCAAAAATGATTATCAAAAAATGATCCGAGATAGTTTATAATTGTAAGGATTTTTATACACATCTAATAATGATAATACATGTATGCCATTGATTTTGTAGGGAAAGGTGCATCAATTTTATATATTAAAAAATGGGTTTCAGAGTCGGTATGTTTATGGATACAAAATTTTTCGTCAGATTGAAGAAAATGTGCATTACAATCATGAAATTATGGACTATAATAAATAAACAGTTTGTTATAAAATAACTGACACACTTCAGGTATTTTTTTCTCAAGTTAACGATATATATATCAGTAAATAAGAAAAAATGCATACATTTATATATCTAAAGATAAGTAATTCTGTTCTTTACAAGGAATTCATGTACTCGCCTAGATCCTTGTGGAGTAACATTCACACAGAGGATGTGTATGCCGAGTTTCAATGGGACCATGGTTAACGTGACTAGGTAGTCCTGGGACACTCGGGATTTGTTTATTTCCCTCACCAGTATATCGGACAAATTCGTGCTTGTATTTATGAAGAATCTAAAATTAAAAGGCACTTATTATTGCAGCACTACTTTTCTGCATGCAATTTCGTGTCATCTTTTAAGCATAAAGAATGATTAATTATTTCGAAATAATAAATTGTTGTAATACAGAGCTTAAATGTATTAAAATCATATAAAGAAAATTTATGCCTATAATTTTTACAGTTACACTAAATCGGACAGAAATCACAAACAATTCGAGCATTTTATCCTAAAGATGCACAAATAATGCTAGACAACTTACCCTCTTTTTTCAGATACTAAAAAATGCAGTTGGCATTCCTCATTCAAAGGACAATTTATTTGTTTTGGAAGCAACAAGCTTCCAAACATGGGCTGGAATTGCAAATAAATTGTCATTAATACTTCTGTATATAGTTTTAGGGGGAAAAAACTAAACAAATTTAATTTAATTTTGGGTATTTCTAACAATCAAAGCCCAAACTATGCAATATCAATTCTATTTTACCGATTCGCAATTAATTGAACACTACTTTACATATGCGATTGTTATAGATATAAAAATGAAAGGAATTAAAAATGTACATACATATTTTAAACTGTTATTGTGAATCACTTGAGGTGAACCAAACTCTAAGAATGAAATAGGAATGATGATTAAGTTAGTATTTCTTGACCTAGTACAAACTAATTTAGGAAGCGTACTAAATTTCGTGTTTTGCTTCCTAGCATAATCCATAAGCTAAATATAATGTGTACACAAGAAAAAATATCACTTTCTGTCTCGTTCAGATTAGTTTATCTTGGTACTTATTTAATACAATTATAAAGCAATAAAAGTACCTCACAAAGCTACATTTAAAATCCCCCGTCATTATGAATTGGATTTAAATAAGTCAACACTACCTGAAGAACAACTTTCACCAGAGAATCCCATAGGACAAAGACATGTCCGTGTTTTTAAATGGCCATCACAAAATCCGCCATTGCAGCATGAATTAATTGTACAAGAACTTACACCTTCAAATACAAAATATTTTCATAATAAAATACTTAATAAATCAACGCCAACTTGTTTTCAATAAAAACTAATATTTACAAAAATAAATGTTTACAGGATTGCAAGAAAGGTTTTCGATTTTTTTGAAACTATCTTTTATATAAGCGTGGATTATTTGAATCAAAAATGTTATCCTTTTGTTTTTCTAAATGCTTTAAATTTCAAAACTTGCGAGGGGATATATTACTGTTTTCCTCATACGGTCGTGTATCCTAACACCGTAATATTGTTTACACATGCACACTACTATTTGACCTTTTCTCTCTCAAAGGACTGCAAACGACAGTATTGCTTTGCTGCCTATCTCAATTATTAATTTTGAAAGTAATCATATTCCAATTACTTTTTTTTAAATTCATGTAGATACTGATCCCAATAAAATTTGGATTATGTATAAAGAGAAT